ATTGATAATCCATAGATGAATCAAAGTTAAGCTCACTAAAATATGTATTTACATGTCATAGGATGTTAGAGATGCATATAGACATGATGTAAAATGCGTAAGCATATCCTCGTATCCCGGTTGAGGAAAGATGAATATATGCTTTAGATGCTAAATAACGCGTAAGCACGCCTCCCGATGATATGAGCTCTAGATGACATTAAGTGCTTAAGACGCTAAGAAAAGTCCGGTTGGCTAGACGTTAAATAATTCATATGCATTTAGTTGCATTACATGAGTTATGATGTTATTTACATCATGAGAAGATTTATACTCATGTCAGATGATATTTAGATGTTATATCATGACATGTGAAGTGTGTGTACCATGTTTACATCCTTATTTGTATGTGTACACATTGGTGTTTATATAGGCATGGGATAAAATGATGAAAATCATATGAATTAGTAAGAAAAAGGAGCATACCTAGATGTAAAAGATAAGTGGTGTGTTAATAAATATGTTTAAATGAAGGTCAAATAGCACATTTAGAATGAAATAGATCATTCCTTACTGAGCGATTAGGGCTCACCCTTTCGTTGTCTATTGCTTTGCAGGTAGACCAGAAGCCAGGGATGCTAGAGACAGCGGGGCTACATATAAGGGGAGATGATTTATTGTTATCTTGATGTTTTTATCTTAATGTAAATAATGTAAATGATAAATGGTTGTGAAACACCTTTGGAAACTTCCACCCTATAAATATGTTTTGATTGTGTAATTTCCAGGTAAATTCTTAAATTTTTTGAAATTATAAGTATGGATCTTGCATGACATCTTATATGAATGTTTTGGATATTATTATTATCATCCTTACATAGGTTTTTCTAAATACAACTCGTTCTCCAAATATGTATCCCCTGGATTCTCATTAAGGGATATTTAGAGGATACCTGACTGGAAAGAGGTTTTATACTCCCTTTATAAAGCACGTGATGCATGTAAATCAACAAGTTGTCATAATTCATTTGTTCATTCTATCGTCGTCATGGAATCTAACAACAAAAATAAACATAATAGTGTACCTCATTGGGAACACACATCACTTGTTAATTAATGAATTTGGAGTACAAAAACATAATAAAAACATTACTTAACTAAATAACCTAAAATAGAGCAGTAAAGGAAATAAAACAAAAATAAAACAAACATAAAAATAGAGTTCAAATGAAAAGCTTGAGTTTCCTCCCACAAAGTGCTTTATTTAACGTCTAGGCTAGACAAAATGCACGGTCTATGGCTTAATAATTGGAATCTGAGGGAAACGCTGATGAGTCAAAAACTATGAACTCTATAGTTTCATCCAAGACCGTCATAGTTGTAGCCATAAATGTGCAGCCAAACAAAATGGGCAAATCTCTATCATGAGTTGATGACTTCTCCATATCTAAGACTACAAAATTAACAGGAATTATTAGTTTATCAACTTTAACCAAGACATTCACTACAATACCTCTTAGATATTTAATGAACTGTTGGCAAGTTGTAGAGATATTGTTTTCAACTTTAATTCCCCCAATCCTAATCACAGATAAGTGGAGTAGGGCATGAGATTAATACTTGCTCCCAAATCTAGCATTGCTTGTTCTTCCTTTTCATGACCCACAATAAAGTTGATGATGAAACTACCCAAATCATTCAGTTAGGATGGCAAATTCCTTTGAAGCATAGCACTTACCTTTTTCAGGAACCATTACTTTTTCACTGGGTTCAAATTTATGCTCGCGAGTAATCAAATCCTTCAAGAGCTTTGCGTAAGACATATTCCTTATCACATCAGGGGAGGGTGAGTTCACATAAACTTTAGATAAAATATCATAAATTTCAGAGAATGACTTATCCCATTTGCTTTTCTTCAATCGGCTCGGGAAAGGTATAGGTGGAACATAAGGCGTTGGTGGAGCCACGATGGGACTGATCTCTTCATTCTGAATGGATACACTTAGTTGCTTCTCCTTAGCTTTTGTAACATCTACTTAAAACTCATACAATGCATGCATAAATACAATATAAAATTGGGCCCAAAGTTTTCTTTTCATTAATAATACATATGTCTTTTATACACAAATAGTACTGTTTACAAAAATGCATTTTAAAAGACAAAACAGGGGAAACAGTGTAGCTATTCCTCTTCGCTTGCCGACGCCCCACCGACTGCATCATCACCTAGAACCTGCATCCACAAAGGAAAATAACGGGGTGAGCACAAATAATGCTCAGTAAGTAAAACTCTCTAACTGTCTGTCCCCGTGTGTGACTCTTAATTCTTTCCTTTTCTAATTCTGTTTCTATTTCTGTTTCTAATAACATCATGGCCTCATCTTACCGGAGGTACGGCCGGATGGCGTTCACACAGCACCATCTCACTCTCTATGGCTATCGGGTGGAATTCACACAGTACCAACCCTTTCTTAGTGACTACCGAGTGAGGATCACAAAGCACCAACTCGGTTCCTCCTAACTATCGGGTGGAGATCACCTAGCACCTACCCGTTCCTCATGAATTTTGGGTAATGATCACCAAGCATTTACCCGTCTCTAGTCACTATCGGGTGATGATCACAAAGCATCAACCCGCTTCTACTAGCCGTTGGATGATGATCACAAAGCATCAACCTACATATCTCTTAACTAATCGGGTAGTGGTCACAAAGCATCTACCCATTCCTATTACTCATTGGGTGACGATCACTAAGCATCGACCCATCTCTCCAAGGCTATTCGGATGATGATCACAAAGCATCAATCCGATTCCCATAACGGTCGGGTGATGATCACAAAGCATCATCCCAACTATACTACTCTTCTAATTCATTCTATTGTAGTATTTCTCAATGCTCTCTACCCTTAGAGTAGTTGTACCCACCAAGCTCTCTACTCATAGGGTATTTGCACACACAATTCTCTTACACTTTCTTAGGTCACTTTTCCATGTACAACTAGTGCCTATGGATGGTTCAACTTCACCAATGCACTTATGAGATGCCAACATGCAATGTTGCAAGAATTAAGGTTCATTACTCACACTCAAACCTCTATTAGGCATTTCATCAAACAACTCATGTGCACTATAAAACTCTATTATAGCCATGATTCTAAAACTTTTCTTAACCATCCAAAATGGGGAAAAACCCCTTCACAAAGCCATGAAAACCTGTCAAACAAGACACTTCCAAAAAGGGTTTCATAACACCCCTTCAAATCCATCTCAACTACCTTGTCAACCCAACAACCCATTTCTCATATTTGCAAGGTATTAACATTCACAAAGCATAGAAATCTCCATTTAATACTCCATACATGGCATATTACATGCACATCACATACATACATCATTTCTATCAAAACCCTAATCAAGAAATTTCATGAATCTCAACTTGGGTTGGGTTTTACTTACTTGCTATGGAGAGACTTCACCAAATCTTCTTTCCACTGGTTTTTCTTGGCTATTCTCTCTACTCTTAACCAAAAGAATGAAAACCCTCAAAAACCAAAATGAACTAAAATCTACAAATCACACAACTTAAGGAGAAATCCTTACCTTAGGAAGCCTTAGGTTGTTTTCTATACCCCAAATCACTTCAAAATCCCTTGAAATTCCTTGAACAAAAGAAAAGAGAAGTTGAGAGGAGAAGAATGAAGGGTTGCGTTTTTGGAGAAGAAGAATGAGGGTTTGCTAACTCTTAATTCCTTTTAATGAAATATAACACACTCATTCCCATTTTGCCCTTATTCATCTTTGGAAATTCCATCCATATCCTTTGATTCATTACAAACTCACCCCTATATCAACATATTCTCCATGAAAATTCCTTACAATTAACTCCCCACTTTTCCTGCTAATTAGGGGTAGAATGGTCAAAATGCCCTTAGGGAAGAAAATATCTAAAACTCAATCAACATTTTATTCGGCCTGTCGCCGCGGCGAAGAAACCTTTGTCGCCGCGGCGAAACTGTCCAGAGAGTTTCACCCTTGGTTTCAACACATCTTCGCCGCGGCGAAGATTCTTCTTCGCCCCGGCGAAGCTTGGTTCACTAAGATTCTTCTATTTTCAACCAATTTCAGGGCAACATTCAACATAACACTCAAACAAACAATAATAACAAAAACCAACTCGATTAAGGGTGAAAGAGGAAACAATAACAACGTACCTCAAGCGGGGCGTTACAGCTTTATCTTCCCCTACATGATAAATTAAATTCTAATTAGTTCAAAATTATTTTCTTTATTAATTACCTTACCACTTTGTAGTGCTGTGGCTGCATTTGCTTGCTCAAGTTGATTGGTAATTTCCCAAAAACATGACCTTGTACTAACTCTGCTATTTGTCCTATTTGAACATCCAACTTCCTAATTGTTGCCTCTTGCTGCTGAAATCTCTGTTCAAAATTTAGTTGGTTTTTATGAGAAACTTGAATAAAATTATTCAATGTCTCTTCCAATGAGGGCTTCCACTGTTGATTATTAGAGCTCGCTTGTTGCTAATTGCTACTCCAAGAAATATTAGGATGATTACTCCAACCCAGATTATAAAGAATTCGAATAAGGATCATGAGGCCTTGGGTTGTAGGAGTTCATCATATTGGCTTGCTTAAAAAACTTCGAAAAATTTTCATGAGAAGGACAAACATTAGTTGCATGACCAACAATACCACAAATAGAACATACCTCATTGAAATTTCTTAGTCCTTGTCCCATCATCATGTTGCACATAGTTTTCATTTGTCTGGTCAGTTCTGAAACCTGCATAGCCAAATCAGAATTAGTATTTACTTCATATATCTTTATAGATCTACCTCTAACACGTTTTTGTTGTGAATTTGTTCCAAGCATCTCATACAAATCGTAAGTCTCTTGTGCAATCTTCTCTCCTATAGCACCACCTACAACATTATCAACTATAGGTTGACAAGCCTATGTCAATCCATCATAGAAAAATTGATTCAATAACTCTAAAGGATATCTATGATGTGGACATTGAACTAAAAACAATTTAAAATGTTCCCAAGCTTCATGGAATGGCTCACCTTCTATTTGTGTAAGACTAGCAATCTTACCTTGCAATTCAGCAGTCTTGGCATGAAAAAAAAATTACCTATGAATTTATTGTAGACTACATCCCATGTGGTAAGTGAAGCTAGAGCCAAAGACATGTACCACGTTTTAGCCACATTCTTTAACGTGTATGGAAAATACCTCATTCGCAGTTGACCTTCTATCAAACTCTGCAAAGGAAAAGTTTGTGCTGTAGAATAAAAATCACGAACCAAAATTAAAAGATCCTCTGAAGCTACTCCATGAAAAGATGGAAGCATTTGAAAGTGAATATTTTTAACCTCATAATTTCTTGTTGCATGATTCAGAACTATGCATGATTGTGACGTTCCAATGGTAAGACGTGCGTACTCCTTCATGGGTCGAGGTAGCTCAACCATCTTTTCTTCAATCTCTAAACTTAATAATGATGATTCTTCCTCTCGTGATCGGCAACCTTGCATTCAGTACCTAAAAACACAAAAGACCAGCCAAAAAAAAAAAAAAAAAAAGACAAAAAGACAAAAAAAAAAATAAAATACAAAAACTACAAAAATAAAGCACACGTTATCAGAAAAATTGAATAACAAAAAAAAAAAAAAAAAAAAATCCTCAACATCAGTTCCAAAAACTTGATTAACAATTTTAATTCCTCCCAAGTGCATTAATCGATATCAATGTATAGTGTGCAAAAGCAAGGGTTTATCTCACAGAGATTTGTAAGCACTCAATTAATCCTATTATCCTACGCTTTAATTAAACAAATAAATTCAAGTAAAATTGAAGAACGAATAACTAAAATAAAAAATAAACTATCAGAAAACCAATATTTTACTGAGTTAAAATCCAATGAACTAAAACCTGAGTATCCAATTTCACCATAAATTATCCAGCTTTATGTCACTAATCACACTATGGTTATCTCAATTCACTTTCTAGGGTCCGTACTCTTGTAACTAAGGTATTACCTAAAGGTGTTTGGGATTAACCTAGTATTTTTAACACCAAACTAGCCAGGGCGTATAGTCTAGCCTAATGATTAAAAACCCATTAAGACCAAAGCACTAGAAATCAGGAGCCAATTCGCATCTACCAGGGCATATGCACAAAACAAACCATTCATTCAAAAGAGAAATTCAACATTAGCTAGGGTGTATAGTCTAACCTTGTCTCATGCAATCAATTAATTAACATAAAAGGTGATCAAATAATAATATATTTCAACTAGCTCAAGTCTTTCGCTCTAAAGATTGAATTAATCACAATGAATGAAACTAGAATAACATTGAATTGATAAACACATAGAATTGATAATAGCATAAAGCCTTCAAATTAGGTTACATTGGATCCTGAATAAATAATTTAGCTACACATATTAATTGGGAAATCAAACCTCACAATCTCCAAAAGCATGAAGAAAAGCCCTAAGCAAGATCTCCTCAAAGTTGAAGTCTCCCTTAAAAATACCTAAAGAAATCCTTTTATAGTGCTAGGATTGTGGGTAAGTAACGAGAAAAATCCTATACAAAATAGGAGAATAAAATTCAATTCTAGGCGAAATAGGATAAGAAAATCCTAATGAAATTAGGATTCCTTCACACGAGCCGCACAAAGATCTCCAAAAGAGAACACACTAGATTCTAAATTTGGAAAGGTTGTGAACACATGAATTTTAGGCCTTCAAATATGATTTCCAACGATTCAAGAATCATCCAAATTTGAGGTCTACAGTTCAAGTTATTGTAGAAACACTAAAGCAAGCTCTAGAACCCACGTCTGCTTGTCTTCCATGCACTGATGTAACTTTTGGATCAATTTTAACCACTTTCCAAGCCAAACAAGATTACAACCAATCATAAAAGTTGTAGACCTATCTATTATCTTTAATATGCCATTAGAATTAGGTCAATTAGAGTTGTGTAGCTTAAGTTATGCCCATTTTTGTGCATCATGTGCTGGCAGAAAAAACTCCTAACATAAAATTCACGAACTGTGCCACAACACATGAATAGTTTGTTAGAGTAGGTGCCTTGAGCCAATCAATTATTGTAAGATTGACTCTATAATAAATGTTTATTTATCAATAAAAGGCATATTCTTCTATATTGTGCAAATCATGGTTATATGTAATGATATATGTCCTTAGGATGGTAGAACCATGACGATGGTATCAAGTGTTTCAAATCTTGATAGTGAGAGCCATATGATCACATATGGTGGCCATTCTAGAAATGTTCGTAGCCCTAGTATTATTCTGGACAAGGAAACAGATAATACGGTAAGGCTATTATAGCGTTGAACGACCCTGTCAAAAGGTAGTGTGACTGATCTCACTTGTTAAGGTTGTTTTCCGACAACCTGGTGCAACGCATGGGTGCTTGCTAGAGGCAAGTTCACTAGAAAGACCCACCAAAGGATTCCATATAGATGGTAACCGTGTCTATAGAATAAATCCTCTAACAGATGGTGGTGCATGTGATCCTTAGATTTGAGATCATGGAGCACCTTGTGCACCAATTGGTATAGTTTGACGCTAGCCCAACGTAGTTCTATTTAGAGTTATCAATATGGTAGTGATTGGCTACATTGAGAAGTATATCAAGACTATGGTAGATCGACAAAGGATTCATCACTCCTAGGTACAAGAGAAGTCATCTCACCAGGTAATTCGGTAAATGGCAATGACACTAAATCTATGGCCATAGTGGGATTGAGTTGATGCTCAATCCAATTTATTATTTCGGTCATTAGTCCATTAACTGAATACAAACATGTCAAGGATATTTGAGGCTAACACTATTTCTATACCTCAGTCTCGATAAGATAACAGATGATGAAAGGATTTGATTGCACAGTAACCATACCATTGACAGGCTACGATTTCGTCGAATCCGAATCTATTGGTGGCCATGATGGCCTGTTAGGGGCCAATCTTGGTTTGTATGTAATGAGATGATTAATTGGTGTTAATCACGATACTACACACTGCCGATATGATGAGGAGCCTACGGGTCACACACTTAGCAGATAATTTAAGAATTAATTTATGAGAAAGGTATTTTCGTCTTTCAGGATGAAAGGGTATTTTGGTAATCTCACAGTGCAATTAAATATGCTGAGGTTGTTACCTGTATTTAATTTTAATATTAAAATTAAATTAGTGAGATTATATTTAAATATATCTATGTATATATTTAAATGAATTTTTATTATTAATTAAATGTTGATATATTAATTGATTTTAATTATAATAATATTTAATTAATTAAAATACCATAAAGCGTGTGTTTGGTTGCAAGCGTGAACTAGGGCTGGAGCCCATGGCTATTCCTAAGTGGAATAGGGTTTTAATTGTTGCACTATATAAGTGCAACTTAAAATTAAAACAAAGGTGATATATTCATTCAATTAAAAACCCAGCCACCCTCTCTGTCTCTCTCTCTCTCTCTCTCTCTCTCTCTCTCACATTACACTCTTGAATGAAGAAGAAAACTTTTCTTGTTCTTCTTTCTTGATTCTTGAAGCCCTTGATTGTTCTAGCAAAATAATCAAGAGTTCTGTTGATAATCGTCGTGTGGACTTCCGTGAGTGCGATCCTAAAGTGGATTGATTAGCTAAGAATCATGTGAACAGTGTTGGTGAACAGTATCCAATGAACAGTGTTCATCTCTGAAGTTAGAGATATTCGAAGGAGCCTCCAAGCGTCGATATTGTTAGAGTAGATGCCTTAGAGCCAATCAATTATTGTAGAATTGACTCTTTGTAATAATGTTCATTGATCAATAAAAGGCATTTTATTCTATATCGTGTAAATCATTATTGTGTGTATTGATATATGTCCTTAGAATGGTAGAACCGTGATGAGGGTATCAAGTGTTTCAAATCTTGATAGTGAGAACCCTACGAGCACATATGGTGGCCATTCTAGAAACGTTCGTAGCCCTAGTATTATTCTGAAGTAAGGGCACAAATAATACGGTAAGGCTATCATAGTTTTGAACGACCTTGTCGAAAGGCAGTGACTGATCTCACTTGTCAAGATTGTTTGGTGACAACCTGGTGCAACACATGGGTGCTTGCTGTAGGCAAGTTCACTAGACTGACCCACCAGAGGATTCCAGATGGATGGTAACTCTAGTGTCTTTGGAATAAATCCTCTAACGAATGGTGGTGCATGTGATCCTTAGACTTGAGATCACCGAAGCACCTTGTGCACCAATTGGTGTAGTTTGACACTAGCCTAATGCAATTCTATTCAGAGCTGTCAATACGATAGTGATAGGCTGCATCAAGGAGTGTATCAAGACTACGGTGGATTGACATAGGATTCATCACTCCCGGGTACAGGGGGAAGTTATCTCACAGCACAATTCAGTAAATGGCAATGACACTAAAACTATGGCCACAGTGGGATTGAGTTGTTGCTCTATCCAGTTTATAATCCTGGTCATTGGTCCAGTAACTAAATACATACATATCGAGAGTAACTAAGGTTGATACTATTTCTATGCCTCAGTCTCGTTGAGATAACGGATGATGAAAGGATTGGACTGTACGGCAACCATATTGTTGACAGGTAGCTGCTTCACTGAATCCGAATCTATTGGGTGGCCATAATGCCTTGCTAGGGGCCAATCTTGGCCTGTGTGTAGTGAGATGATTAATTGGTGTTAATCGCAATACTATACACTACTGGTATGATAAGGAGCCTACGGGTCACACACATTGAAGATAATTTAAGAACCAGTTTATAAGAAGGGTGTTTTCGTCTTTTTAGGCAAAAAGGTATTTTGGTAATCTCATAGTGTAATTAAATTTGCCGAGGTCGTAGCCTTTATTTAATTTGATATCGAAATTAAATAAGTGAAATTATGTTTAAATATGTGTTCGCATATATTTAAATGAATTATCGTTATTGTTAAATGTTAATATATATATATATATTAATTTAATTTAATTTAATTAAAATAATGATAATTAAAATTAAAATATCTGAATGGGGCTGTTTGGACATAGGGGTTCTTTGGGTT